GGGTTCAGATGTCTGTAGTGTTGGGTTCAGATGTCTGTAGTGTTGGGTTCAGACATCTGTAGTGTTGGGTTCAGATGTTGCTACTGTTGGGTTCAGACATCTGTAGTGTTGGGTTCAGATGTCATAGCGTTGGGTTCAGATGTCATAACGTTGGGTTCAGACATCTGTAGCATTGGGTTCAGACGTCTATAGCGCTGGGTTCAGACGTTGTAGTGTTGGGTTCAGACGTCTGTAGCGTTGGGTTCAGACATCTGTAGCGTTGTGTTCAGACGTCTGTAGCGTTGTGTTCAGACGTCTGTAGCGTTGGGTTCAGACATCTGTAGCGTTGGGTTCAGACGTTGTAGTGTTGGGTTCAGACGTCTGTAGCGTTGGGTTCAGACATCTGTAGCGTTGTGTTCAGACGTCTGTAGCGTTGTGTTCAGACGTCTGTAGCGTTGGGTTCAGACATCTGTAGCGTTGGGTTCAGACGTTGTAGTGTTGGGTTCAGACGTTGTAGTGTTGGGTTCAGACATCTGTAGCGTTGGGTTCAGACGTTGTAGTGTTGGGTTCAGACGTCTGTAGTGTTGGGTTCAGACGTCTGTAGCGTTGGGTTCAGACGTTGTAGCGTTGGGTTCAGACGTTGTAGCGATGCAACAAGCAGACATCAGGACAGCAACATAATGAGGTTAGTGCTGGATGGATGACAGCTGTCATACAATCCCACAGTTAGCTGTGAGGTCACTTCCTGTTTGTCCTCAGGTCCTGGTGAAACTGGGAACCACCAGAACTGCAATAGCTGCCACTGCAACYGCCGCCACCACCAGGTTCCAGCCTTCAGAGTTCTTCTGCTGAGAGAGAAARAATCCTGTTAAAAAACTTCATTCATCTAAACGTATGTGAACAAACAAAATCTCTTAACTTCTCTCTCCTATTTCTGAAGGGATTTTCCATTAGCTGTTTTTTCTAAAGTCAAACTGAAATTTGGGRCCTATTTTTGTTAATAATAAACTACTACAATATGTAAGCTATGACCGAGATAGACTCTTATTTTGAAGAGTACATACAAGTTTTAATTTGAAAATACACGGTAATTAAGTTGTTCTATGGGGGCGGCCATGTTGAAATTAAAACTGCTGAATAGTAGAAGATCCACTGACTGACTCAAAACCTGCTGATTCACTGGTTACCATGGTGATTCCCATCTAATCCTGGAAGAAGAAGGAGGCGGGGTTAAAGCCCCTCTCTTTACCAAACAGGAACATAAACTGAGCCTTAAAGGGATCCAGGATTAGTTGTAACATTAGACGTTATTTGATAAACATTTATTTTAACTGTAAAATAAAGACTGTAAAAATACTGTAGGCTGTTTAGTTTTTATAATTTTTAAACCAAAATTAAAAAAATATATTTTACAGACGAGCCATTTTATTTACACGCAAAGTAAATGATGAGGTCACCAGTGCGAGGCAGCAAGCTTTATCCACCCTGAAGGTTAACATTAGACGTTATTTGATAAACATTTATTTTAACTGTAAAATAAAGACTGTAAAAATACTGTAGGCTGTTTAGTTTTTATCATTTTTAAACCAAAATTAAAAAAATATATTTTACGGACGAGCCATTTTATTTACAGGCAAAGTAAATGATGAGGTCACCAGTGCGAGGCAGCAAGCTTTATCCACCCTGAAGGTTAATTTTGGACAATATATGACAATCGGCTCTTTTAAGTTAAACCAGAGAGCGTTGACAGAGAGGAGAAGGTAGAAATGACTCAGCCTGGTTCAGACTCTGAGATACTTAAACTTCTCCACTTGGGGCAGGACCTCCTCCCTGACCCAGAGAAGGCACCCTACCCTTTTACGGCTCAAGACCATGGTCTGGGATTTGGAGGCACTGATCCTCATCCCGGCTGCTTCATACTCAGCTGTGAACCGCTCCAGTGAGAGCTGGAGATCAGGATCTGATGAAGCCAACAGGACCACATCATCCACAAAAAGCAGAGMYGTGATCCTAAGGTCACCAAAAAGGATCCCCTCAACACCTCGGCTGCTCCAAGAAATTCTGTCCAGAAAAGTTATGAACAGAATCAGTGACAAAGGACAACCTTGGTGGAGTTCAACTCTCACCAGAAACGAGTCCGACTTACTACCATCAATGTGGACCAAGCTCTGTCACCGGTCATACAGGGACCTAACAGCCCGTATCAATGGGCCTGGTACCCCATACTCCTGGAGTACCCCCCACAGGAGTCCCAGAGGGACACGGTCGAACGCCTTCTCCAAATCCACAAAACACATGTAGACTGGTTGAGTGAACTCCCATGAACCCTCCAGGACCCTGTTGAGGATGTAGAGCTGGTCCAGTGCTCCATGACCAGGACCAAAACCACACTGCTCTTCCTGAATCTGAGATTCAACTATCTGATGGACCCTCCTCTCCAGGACCCCTGAATAGACCTTACCAGGGAGGATCAGAAGTGTGATCCCCATATAGTTGGAACACACTCTGTGGTCCCCCTTTTTAAATAGGGGGACCACCACCCTGGTCTGCCAATCCAGAGGAACTGCCCCCGATGTCCACATGATGTTGTAGAGTCRCGTCARCCAACACAACCCCACAACATCCAGAGCCTTRAGGAACTCTGGGTGAATCTCATCCAGCCCCGGCGCCCTGCCACCGAGGAGCTTTATAACCACCTCAGTGACCTCAGGACCAGAGATTGGAGAGTCTGACCCAGGGTCCCCAGGCTCTGCTTCCTCATGGGAAGACGTGTTGGTAGGATTGAGGAGGTCTTTGAAGTATTCTGCCCACCGACCTACAACGTTCCAAGTTGAGGTTAGTAGAGCACCATCCCCACCATAAACAGTGTTGGTGGTGAACCACACAACCACCTGAACCGCAATCCACTTGGACTGCCGGTACCCATCTGCTGCTTCCGGAGTCCCACAGGCCAAACAGACCTGATAGGCCTCCTCCTTCAGCCTGACAGCTTCTCTCACTGCCGGTGTCCACCAGCAGGTTCCAGGGTTGCTGCCACRACAGGCACCGACAACCTTGCGGCCACAGCTCTGGTAAAGGCTCCCACATACTCAGACATTCTGGGTGCAGTCCGTGAGCCACGTGCACCCTGAGTCCGTGCTGACCTCCGCAGAGCGAGGTCCGCCCGAGTATGTGGGGCCGTGTAAAAAGCAGTTTGGTAAAGCTGAAGGACAACAGTCGCCTGCGTCAGTTAGACGCAGCTTCACTAGAAACTGTCTTTGAAGTGAAATCGTGTTTTGTTTGAGATTTCAGTTTGGAAATGAGGACAGCTGACTTTTGGGATGACAGATTTTCTGCTTCAGCTCCAAAGAACTTGTATTAAATGATCCAGAACATTTGTAAGGTTTCCTCTGCTGTAAACCATCAGGTTAGCTCTGATCACTCAGATGTGCCTGACAGCCTCAGGTAGAAAAAGAAGGGCGTGGCCATACCTGGTCCCCTTTAGGACGCCAGCTCCTCCCACCAGCACCAAATCAAGGCCACTATAACAATCAATCCTATGAAGGGGATGGAGAGAACAGGGGGCTCAGACGGACGAGTGCAGTTCTGAGGAGAAGACAGAAGGTAGGAGTGTGGAGGGAAGTCAACCCATAAAATCATAAGAATCAGAGTTTCCAACTCAGGGAGGAAATAAAAACATGATCTGATGGAGAAAAGAAGCAGGCAGGTCAAAAGAATCAGAGAATTTTATAGTTTCATTATAAAATTCATGAAGAAAACATGAGAGTGGAAGGAACAGATGAGATCTACGTCAGCTGGAACATCTTCAGGAAGGCTCACTCAGATCTGACAGGGATCATCAAAGGGTGGCTCGTGGACCATATCTGGCCCACAGGGTGGGTGGAGGGTCAAGAAACTCCTGACAGATGAAAATGGTGAAACGTGGGGGTGAAGGGCCACAGGATTGAAAAGAGTTATAATAAAAATCAGCCAATTAATTCTGTTTTATTTTATTAATTCAACTGGATCCTCCTGAGACGTCATCGGTCTGACAGCTGAGCTGAACCCAGGATGAATCAGTAAAACGTCTAAAYATCACCCAGTCTGATGCAGACTCACTCCTAATTCATGGTATTTCTGTTCCACYGCTTCAAATGACCTAAAACAAACAACTTAACATTTGTGAATCAATGACGCCAAACTCTTAACTTTGTCAGAAATTAGATTTAWAGTATAATATCGTACATTTCTCATTCATTTAATTTATAATCTCTTTTTTCTCATTTCAGTGACTCAGCAAAAAATGGTAAATTTTTTAAGTTGCTTAAAATTCCAAACATGATCAAATCCACCTGCGTGTAACCACATGAATATTTCTACCAATAAATCAAGATGACATGRTTTAAAGCAAAAAGAAATGTTGCTTTTATTTGATAAAAGAAAATATTTCACTGCTTTCTATCATCTCCAACAAAAACCTGAATATTTATTAACCCAAAACAAAATTTGTGTATAAATCCTAAACCTAAAACACAAGGGTAATAAT